CAGAACCCCAGCGCCACAGGCAGAGAAAAGGGACAAATATTTACTCAAAGCACCTTCCAGGGCTAAGAGAGAAAAAAAAAAATCAAACACTGCAGAGCCCCACCTGGGTGTGAGTGGGCTCTCACCTGCCTGGCACAGCCAGGGAGCAGCCCAGGAGCTGTATCTTACCCCGCCCCGGGCCTCAGGAATGCAGAAACAGGTCTCAGTCCCTCAGTTTTCAGGAGAAATGAGCTCTGTTTCTATAAAACAGACATTTGAGTAGGGCGACATGGTCTCCAAAAGCACCCTCAGCTGGATTTGGGGTTTGTGACAGGTATCCAGGTGCTGGGAGAGGTAGGAAACTCTCCCTGGCAAGTCCCACCATAGGAATTTTGATTCCAAGAGATGTGTGAACACTCCAGGGTGGGATATGTGCCACAACAGGACGTCCCACTGCAATACTCGGCACTCTGGGCACTCCTGATCATCCACCTCAAGGCATCTCCTCCCCAAAGAGACCTTACACCACCCACAGCCCCCTCCCACAGCCCCCACCCCCCTGCCCCGGAGGGAAAGGGCTTTGAACGTTATGGAAGGGTGGGATTTGCACGTTATGGAAAAGTCCAGCTGGCAGAAGCAAACACAACAGGCCTGAAGGCAGCGGAAAGCCAAAAGGGAAGGGGGGTTGCTACACACCGAGCCCCGCGGGAAGCACTCACTCTGCCCGCTCCTCCTCTCTCCTCGGGGCGCTCAGCACTCCCAGGACCTTCCACTCCTCATCCCCTCCGGCCGCAGGGGAAGCTGCTGCTGGTGCCCGGACCACTGGAGAGCAAACCCCGCACCGCTCAGCCCAGTTCGCTTCCTTCCAGCCCGTCAGGGAGCCGGTAACGCTGCTGGGGCACTCAGTTCGTGCCCAGGCTGGAGACGCTCGGCTGGAGGGGTTGGAGCAGCCGAGCCCGCAGCTCCCTCTTCTGTCCAGCGAACTCCTCGGCAGCCTCTCTTGTCCCGGCCCGGCAGGAATTTCGGCTCCCTGGCTGAGCGGCTCCCGAGCCGTCACCTTCTCCCCGCCCGCAGCCCGGGAAGCTGGAAGGGTTCGGGCTTAAAACAAGCCCTCGGATGAGTCAGCCCCGCGGTTTTTCGGAGCACAGACAAGTGTTTCTTGGGAAGGGATTGTTTCCGTGCCCCGTCCCTGGGCTGGCCGTGCCCAGGAGCCGCTGTTGGACCGCAAGGCTCCGGCGCCAGGAGCTGCTGGAACAATGGGGCTGTGTTTGCTCCTGGACACGCAGGGCTCTCCTGCAGGCTCTGTGCAGTTCCATGGCTTCCTGCCGGGAGCCTCTTTTTCTCCTGCAGCTCCCCCACGCACATAATTAGGGACTATTTTGGGACCTTATCGGAGATGCTTGGGCTCTGATTAGCCTGGACTTCCTTCCTCCCATCCTCAGCCCGCTCCAATATCGACGTCCAGCGGCGCTAATTTGATCATATCAAGGAGCAGAGGAGCTTTGGAGGCATCAGGGACTCTCAGAGCGCTCAATTTGGAGCTGGCAGCAGCAGGGCTGATAAGAACCAGCCATTTCTCCTCGTGTCCACCTCTTTTCCGTGCCAGCCACGTGCTCAGAGGGAGGACAAATCCTTGGAGGCTCCCACTTTTATTCCAGTGGATAAACTGGAGCTCAGCACTGAGGCAAATCAAATTAATTTTTTCTGATTTTTTTTTAATTTAATTTTCTGCATTAAACAAACTTTTTTTTTTTTTTTTAAGCACACAGCAAAAAAGTGGCACATTACTGGAAAAATAATTACTTCAAAATCACCTGGAATGGTCTGAATTTATTTAGAGTCCCTGATGTCTGTAACAGTGAAGGGATGGAGGGAAGGGAATTTTACAGTGTCCCATGGTTTAATCCAGAGGTTGCTTGAGGAAGCAAGAAATTATAGGGATTAAACCCAAACCAAGAGCACTCTTTGCTGTTTTACAAATACACCTAGCAGCAAAGTTTGGAAATGTTGGATCAATACCCCAGTCCCAAGTCCCTCAGTAGAACCACAGGAGCTTCAGGACCCTGAACAAGCCCACACTGTCCTCCTAAACCAGGTCTAACACCCCACAACACACAGGTGTTTATCACAGACCCCACAGAGAAAACCACCTGGAGAACACTCTGCCCCTTCTCTGCACCCTGAGACTGAAAACAAGGTTTACATTTACAGATAACATGAAAAATGTTTATTTGTGAAATACATCGAACTACAAAAGGCCCCCCCCCAGAGGAACAGGCAGTTTGCACCCCTGACACAGCCCCAGATATCACAGCTCCCTCCCCACTGCCCAGTCCTGCTCCCACTGACACTTCAGTCACTCCAGAGCATTCCAGCCACTGCTGTGAAGAACAAATCCTAGTTGGAAACGCTTTGGAGCAGGGTGATGTTGTCCCCTTTCAGCATGATCCGACCTGCAACACAAACAAACAGGGAATGGAGACACCACAGAGTCATGGAATGGGCTGGGCTGGGTTAAAGCTCATCCAGTGCCACCCCTGCCATGGGCAGGGCCACCTTCCACAGCCAGGGCTGCTCCAAGCCCCGTCCAACCTGGATTTGTTACAGCTGTTTGAAAGCCCAAACCTGGTCTCAGGCCCAGACAACGTTTTCCTGCACACTGAACAAATCCACCAGCTCAGGAAACAGCAGGGACTGAGCCCAGTGTCTGCTCCACAAGAGCTTCAGGCTCCCACACCTGGATCCCAGGCTCACTCAGGTCCCACAGCCACTCTGACCTACCCAGCTGCTTCCTGGACTTTGTTTTGGAGTGAATCTCCTCTGCATCATCCAGCACCAGGTTCATGTACTCATCAAAGCCCTGGAAACAGCACCAAACACAGTCAGGGAGGGAAAATTCAGCAACCACCACAAAAAACCCTCCTCAGCTCTGCACTTAAGGCTCTTCACTGGAGAGACATGAAGCATTTCCACCCCTATTCTTGGAAAAAAATGTAAAAGGAAGGACAAAATGGATTTATGAACCTGAACCTCCCACCTCCGAAGACAATCAGAGGAGTGACAAGGGGACAGGGATACTCACAATGATGCAGCCTTCTATCCTCATGTTCACCTGCTCATAGAGCCACACCTGGATCCTGGATCTCTAGAAATCATGGAGAGGGAGAGTAAAACAGGAACATCAACACCCCAAGCAGTTTGTTCCCTCCTGGGCACCCAGGGCTTGTCGCTGCCAACAGGCACTGCAGCTCTCAGAGGAGCCTCTCTGTTATGTCCGCTGGTGTTTTTTACGTCTTGTCAATAAATAACTAAACAATAATAAATATAAATTAATAAATACTAACAAACAATATTTAATACTGGGACACAGGACAGCAGAGATTTTTAATTGTCACAGGGAAATAGTGGAAGGTGTCCCTGCCCAAGGCAGGGGGTGGAACTGGAGGGTCTTCAAGGTCCCTCCCAACCCAAACCATTCTGGGGGTTCTGTGAAAACCCCCCCCACAGCCCAGACTGCAGAATCACCGCCTGTTACACAGGTAATTCCAGGGGGAAGGAAATGTTGAGCTGTTCTCACCCCTCTGAATGACTGTGAGTTCCCCAGTCCCACCGAAACCGGCTCAAAACCCGAATTATTAACAACCCCAGCCCGGTGTGGCAGCACAGGCCGCGTGCTCAAGGAGCGCCAGACACTCCCCCCACAGTCCAAACGGTTTTAAACTGAAACAAAGTAGATTTAAATCGGATACGGGGCAAGAGGTGCCACCCCCGGGTACTCACGTTCTGCAGGTATCGGAAGATCAGGTTCTGCAGCGGAGGGTTAAGGTACGGCACAGCCAGGGACCCCCGGGGACACAGCCCGGGGTGGGGAGAAACCCACGGTCCTCGGGGGCAGGAACCCCGAGGGATCAAACTTGAGACCCCCAGGATGAGACCCCCGAGGGATGAAACCCGCGACCCCCAAGGTACAAACCCACAACCCCCAAGGTACAAACCCACGCCCCCGACGATGAGAGCCGCGCTCCGCGGCCTGGAGCCCGCGCTCCGCCGGGTGTCACCCACGGCCCCCGGCCCCCTCCCGGCCGGCCGCCCCCGCCCCCCCTTGTCTCCCCGCGTTCCCCCCGCGTTCCCCCGGGGCCGTGCAGGATACGATGGGCTGCACCATCACCTTCTGCACCTTCTGGCCCTGCCCGCGGTACGCCATGGCTGCCGCTCCCTCACAGCGCGCCCGGGCCGCGGGGCACGCTGGGATGGCGGCGGGCTGTGAGGCCCGGAGGACCGCGGCTCTACTGCTCCGGGAGGGCGGGACACCGGGAACAGTCCCTGCCGAGGGATTCCTGAGGGGAAAATCACCGAGTCCCGACTGTGACCGATCGCCGCCCTGTCACCAGGGCGCTGCTTGTCAGAGGGACACGGCCAGCCCTTCCTTGGACTCCACCACCTCCCTGGGCAGCCCCTGCCTAGGCCTGACCGCCCTTTCCAGCAAGAAATTCCTCCTGGTGTCCAGCCTGACCCTCCTCTGGCACAGCCTGAGGCCGTTCCCTCTCCTCCTGTCCCTGTTCCCTGGGAGCAGAGCCCGACTCCCCCCTCCTGTCAGGGATTGCAGAGCCAGAAGGTCCCCCCTGAGCCTCCTTTTCTCCAGGCTGAGCCCCCTCAGCTCTCCTGGTGCTCCAGACCCTTCCCAGCCCCATCAGCTCTCCTGGTGCTCCAGACCCCTTCCCAGCTCCATTCCCTTCCCTTCCCTGCTCCAGCCCCCCCAGTGTCCCTCCTGAACTGAGTGACCAGAACCGGACACAGGATTTGGGGTTCCTCAGCAGCGCCAGCACAGGGGGACAATCCCTGCCCTGGTCAACCCCCCTGAGCCCCCAAACCCCACTCCTGTGCTTTGTTTTTACTTATAAACACTCGGCTACAGGAAAGGAGGAGGCGACCAGACTGTGTTTAATACAATTCCTTAAATAAAATACACACAGAAACCAGAACCAGGAGGTCTGTACAGACATGAGCGGGGCGGGTGGAGGTGACCAGCCTACGTTTAATACCTTAAATAGAATACAAATATAAAATGGAAGAATAAAATATTTACAGAAACCATGGTATACACCAAAATCCCACCTCCCTGGGCTGATAGAGGAGGAGGAAACCTTCCATGCCCTCTTCCTCTCTCCCAGAGTCATTCCATGGGCACGTGAGACGGATGCTGGCGGACATCACGGCGTGAGGAATTCCTTCAGCAGGATGAAGGGTCGGCAGCTCAGGGGAGCAATCCTTGGAACCAAGAGGCACTTAAACCAATTCTTCCTTTCCCAATTCACTGCAGACAAGGAGAGGAATCCTGGCTGCCCACCCCAGGATCCCGTTCCCATTAGGAAAAAGCACCCTGATAATTCAAAGTAAGGCTGGATGGACACACCCCAGCCACCGCCCTTGGCAGCGTGTTTGGTCCGAAATACTAATTAATCTGCTCCCTCCCTCCCCCCCCCCCAGCATTGTCATTAATTCCCCTAATTAAAGTCAAAATGACAGCGTACAGCAGTAAAACTCAAGAGTTGACATAGTAACTCCAGGCTTTGGGTACCAACTGTCCACGGGGTCCGAACACGAAGCGCTGAAATGTGCAGAACGTTGGGTTGTGCCAGGGAGGGGGGGAAGGTGGAAGCTTTTGTTTGAAGCCTTTGGAGCGTCACAGAACGAGCAGATCAGTTCACAACCACCACAGTCTGGAGATGGGATCTCTGTGTCCCCCCCCAAAAAAAACACAAGTGCTTTGTCCTCTCCGTGTGGAAGGAGCCACAGACAGTCCCGGGGAAATTCAGGACAACTGAGTGCAGATCCTGCCTAATCCTACCCATCCAACTGTGCCTTCAGCCTCAGCTAGGAAAGGATCACCTCCATGTATCCAACAAAATATACAGGTTTGGGGGTTGTGTAGGGGGGGAGGAGGGTTATGGATATTTTTTTTGGTGTTGTTTTTTTTTCTTTTTTTTTTTTTAAGACACTGCAGTTCAGCTGTCAATCATCTCCGAAAGTTCCAGGAGGAGGTCATCCTCATCCTTCCCTGGGTCCAGGTCAATCTCTGCTTCCAGTTTGCCTCCTGAGATTTCCCAAATGAGCTTCTCAAAGTCGTCCTCCACAGACAGAGGTGCTTTGGCAGAGCCCGTGGAGCTCAGCCGGCGCATCTTCACCGGCACTTCCGAGGGGGCTGAAGTTGAGCTGGAGACCTCTGACTGCGCCAGGGAGTCTGCCTGGCTCCCGATGTGGAGCTCCGGGCTGGGAAGAACAAGAGAGAGGGAACATCAGTGGGTGACATTCCTTGCCTGGAATTTAACCCTCCTACATCTCAGCCTTACACAGGGATTGTGACTCAATCAGCCTGGAACTATTACAGTCCAGGATCAGCAGGTAGGGTTGACAGTTTGGGGATTTATCCATCAAGAAACACCTGGAGTCTGGGAAAGAAAGGTCAGTACTTGTAGCCAGAGAGACTTCTCCACCTTTACTGATTTGACCACAAAAGGGTAAGAAGTGAACCTCTGCAGGCACTCAGAAAACCCAGAGAGTCACTGAAAAGCTGTACCCAAGAGCAGCACTTTTACAAAACCACCCAAACAAGCATTGCTGCTACAGGAATTACTTCAAATTGTTTCTTTGTTGGATTTTGGCACTGATTACCTGGAAACTCGAAATTTTCCACACGTGAACAAACCCGCCCGTTTCACACGAAAGTGGCAGAGATGAAGAAAAGGGACAAAGGTGTGATTGTTACCTGGTTTGGGGTTTTTCCCTCCGAGGTATGGAGACCAGGCTGTCCTCTGGCAAAGCAGGGGCCACGGCCTGGGGAGAAGGAAGACAGCTTTTATGACACAAAATCTCCCATAGATATTTGTTTTGCACTTTTTCTCCCAGAGGAGGGTAAGATTTGGCTGTAAATGTTCCTGGGGACCCCCAGCTGGCTCGGGCACTGTCCTTACCGCAGCTGCTTTCCTGGCTGAGGGCTCCTTGGTGTCCCCACCGGTGGCACTGAGGGGCTTCACGGCCACCACGGCAGTGGGGTGGCTCTCGGTGGCCTTGCGTTTCAGGCTCTGCCTGGGGGAGGACGTGGCTTTCCCATCCAAAGGCTTCAGGCACACCTTGGATTTGTCTGGAACAGAAGGAAGAGAGGAACGGTACAGCCTTGGGTCAAAAAACAACAGGTTCTTCATAGTCCCATAATCATAGAATTGCAGGATGGTTTGGGTCGGAAGGGACCTTAAAGATCATCTCGTTCCGCCCCTCCCTTGCCCTGCTGGCCACATCTGGTTGGTTTCTGGGGTTCCAGCACACGTGGCCCTTCTCCCCAGGCTGTTCTCAATAACACACCCTGAGGTGACACTCAGCACTCACTTTTAGCTTTCCGTTCCAGAGGCTGGGCTGCCTTTTTCCCTGGGGACACAGCAGGGTCCTTCTCCGGGCTTCCCATCCCATCCTCCTGAGGCTTCACCAGTTTCCTCCTCCCAAGCTGATAAGCTGATCCTGAAACCACGGCGGATTCAGGGCTCCCTGATGGTGGAGTTCTGTCCTTGGCTGGTTTCTCCACTGGGGTTGGCACAGCAGCTGCTTCCTTCTGCAGCTTCTCCTGGCGCTGCTTCAGCTGCCGCTTCTCCCACATGATCTCCTCCAGGCTCTTCACCTGGACTGTGGAATTAGCTGCACTCTGACCAGAGGACTAAAAAAAAAAATAAAAAAAGGATTATTAGGACAACGATCTATGGAGATTCCATTAGGAAATTCTGGGTGGCAATCCCTCCGAAATGGCTCCGTGTGGCACCATTAAAATGCAACATTTTCTGTGTAAAATGTTGCCTGTAACAAGATCCCTGCTTTGCTCTGGTCAAAAGCCTGCAATTCCCAACACAGCAAGCTGCTTTCATGGAGCAGAACACGCTAGCTGTACCCCATCCATTCTTTTTAAGGGTTATAAAGCCATACAAGCTCCCCCATACAGCCTGATGTCCTCTCATGATACCTCCAGCCTTTGTTATTGAAATACTCAGCTCAGAATTTCAAGACGTCCCCAAAGTCTGCCAGAGAAAGTCACTGAGAACAAAACCATTCTCCCCACATTAACCTCTGGTGCTAATAGGTTTCATTGAGAGGTATAATCAGATTAATTCCAGGTTTTAGTTCTAATTAATTTATTAATTCAAAGCAAGGACTCTGATGTTGTCTGGAAATGCTACTGGAAATGACAGGAGTTGGGACTTCACTGCAGCAATTACCAAATGAGGAAAGGTAGAACACATTCCAACAGGGAGCAGGAAGTCAGTTTACACACAAAACACGGCAAAATTTGTCAGAAATTGTGCGTACATATGTATATATCTAAGTTTTCACAACAGACTCACCTCTGCAGCTGCAGAGACAGTTTTTGGAGAAGGTTTGTTCAATTCCACTATCATTTTTTCTTCTCTTCCAGGTGCTTCAAAACAAGCAGAAGTGAAAAATAAGTATGTTGTCAACAGCAGAGGTAAAGAAACCTGGTTTCCTTGGTGTGGTTATTCTCTCATGTCTCAGGACACAGGGAAAGGCTACAGGAAGCAATTTCTGAAGCATCTCACCTCTCCCTCAATCTCTTTTTATGTGGTTTATATAATCTTAAAGATATTTAATGCCCCCTCATGTTAAGAAGGTGATACATCCTTCCCAAACACACACATATCAATACACAACACATATTCCAAAGAGGAATGTAACCCAGGATTCAGCACAAGGAAGATCCCACACCACAGATCGATGGCCGAAAAATACAACAGAGAAATCAGACCACAAAGCTCCTAAAGGAATGAGTTTTCCAGCGGGAAATACAGAAAACTGTGACGTAATTTGTGGAATGTAACATGGTCCCTTTGACCTTGGTATCCACCGAAGGAAAAAGCAACAGGAATCCTGAGGAAACTGGACTTACTTCCCCAGGAAGGTACCTCCTTACCTATGAGCTTGGTGACCCGCAGGAGTTTCCTCCCTCTGAGGGCAGGCTCGGGCTGTGCAGGAGGAGCCGGCACGTTCTCCCCACTCTGCTGCATCCTCAGAGCTTTCTCCCTCTTGATCTCCTCCAAGGTTTTGATCCGCACCTCTCCCGCTGGTTTGGCTCTGCCGGGCTCTGCCAGCTGCACCCTGCCGGGCACGGCTGGAGCAGCAACGCTCCTCCTGGGCTCTCCCTCAGCTTTCGGCTTGGCAGGGAACTCCTCCGGCTTTTCCTTCTCTTCCTCCAGCCTCTTGTGGTTCTTCTCAGCCAGGGCTCCCGAGAGGGATTTGATGCGCACAGGGGGGGAAGGTCTGGTCCCCGTGCCGGGCTCCTCTGCCCTGCGGCCCTCGCCGGGGGCTTTGCCCGGGGGCTCCCCCCGCCTCTGCTTTGCCCTCTCCAGGCGAATCTCCTCCAGGGTCTTCACCCGGATCTCCTCCATGGGCTTGGCAGCCTTCTCTGTCACCAGGGAAAAAAAAAAAGGACCAGCATTCAAACAGAGTCCAGCAATGTGTAAGAGTCTCCAAAATCTGCCACAGCACCAAGGAAAGGGGGTCTGAGTGCTCTTTAAGAGGCATCTGAGGTCAGTATCAGCTGCATCATCATGGAATGGGTTGGGTGGGAAGGGACCTTAAAGATCACCCAGTGCCACCCCTGCCATGGGCAGCGACACCTTCCACTGGCCCAGGATGCTCCAAGCCCCGTCCAACCTGGCCTTGGACACTTCCAGGGGTGCCCCTGCTCCTGGGAATGGTTCCATCCTACTTGTGTGTGAGCAACTGCAGCTTCTGATGGTTCAGGACCATCAAACCTTGATGAGATCCATGTGGGAGCCACCTCTCTGACAGCAGCCTCAGGACAGCTCACTCCTCCAGCAAGAGGCAGAAGCTCTTGAAACTTGACTTTTAGGGCACTGTGGAAGTCCATGGAAATCAAAAAGGGGTATTTAATATGCATTTATTACCTGTCTCTGTACTGCTCTGTTCAGGGGGCTGTCCCAGCCTCTCCTTCAGGGACTTCAGCACTTGAACTAAAACACAGAACAGGAAAGGTTAAGGAGACTGCACAAATCCTGATTCTGTGAGGTGAGACAGGACATCATTCCAGTGGGATTCAAAGTCACCCCGAGCCCTCAGCCAACATGCAAAAAGAACCATTAGGAGGAGAAACGGCAAACCTAAGTAGAAATGTGGGTGTGCAATCCAGGTGTGTTTGATACCTGTGCCTCTCCTGGGGGCCTTCTCAGCATTCTCCAGCATCTCTGTCTTCCTGCCCAGCCTGTCAGCAACGTTACGCCGCAGAGGAAGGAAGGTTTTCCCAGCTTCAGAAAGACACAAAGGGGGAAATGCTTTCAGCAGGTTTCTCTGCAGGAGGATTTTCCAACAGTCAGTCACAGACTTCAGTCCCTCCAGGTTTATTTTCTAGTATTTGCCTTTCAGTTGCTAACTGAATTTGGTGGTTTTGCAATCAATGCACGTCATGTAATTTCCTCCCCAAAAACACCTTTAAGTATCACCATGTTTAGGAGACAGCACCCAAAGAGCAGCTCACAAAAAGCTCTCACCTACGAGAGTTTTCCGTTTTCCCAGTCTGTCAGGAAGATTCAGCTGGATCACAGGATCCTCTCCTAAAACACAGAATCATCTGTTCAGTGCACAGAAACCAGCAGCCAGGAAAAGCATCATCCCCAAAAAATGACACTCCTTTGGCAGCCAAACCCCATAACTAATGAATGACTGTGAGTAGAAGTGGTTCTATGTGTTTTTTGCCTTTAAAAGGAATTTATGATTTCCTTTAAAATGAATTCATACAGACTCCTATCACCCAACTGCCACTGTCAGCCTCTTCAATGCTTCAAAAACTGGTTACTTGCATAATCCCATCTTCTCGATCTTCCCTTTCATTACTCCTGTTTTTAATTAACCTCTTCTCTGCACCCTCACTCTTCTTTTGCCATCAGCCTCTCCCTGCTTCTACTGCACTTCTACAACTCAACCTCAAAGTGAAATTAAACACATTGGAGAGTCTGAAGGATGTGATAAAATATGATTAGTTATGGCTTAATGAGAAAAAACCTCTTCCTGATCCTTTACTGCAATGTAACAAATCCAGCATCCCCAGACTCCAACCCTTTCCAATACAACCAGGGTTTTAATTAGAAAAGGCAGCACCACACGTGTGAGTTCTCTTATTTATTACTTCACAGTTTGATTTAGGAGCCATGAAATGGAAGTTCTCACCTTCCTTTGAGGACAGAGTGACAGTTCTCAGCACTGTCCTTACGTTTTCCTTCTCTGGCACAGGAATTGTCCGAGCTTGGAGCGGATCAACAGCAACTCCTGAGGGACCTTCTGATCAGAGCAGGGAACAAATAAGGATGTTTAGGGAAACAACCCAACCAAATAAAACAAAGAATCATCACGGAGACCAAGAACATCAGTTACTCATTACTGCCAAACACAGAACCAGCAGTGCATGTAAATAAGAGAGATGAGCCATTTCCCTCGGATTCGCCCTTGGAATTCCAAGCAGGAACAGCAGCTGCTTCAGAAAACAGCTCACACGCCAAAGCAGCTCAAGGCCCCCACCAAAACATGGAAGTGAGTCCCCCAAGCAGCTCTCAGCTGCAATAACCATCTCCCGCTCTGAGCCAAACAGTGCAAAATAAGATCCTTCGCCTGCAAATTCCTGCTATCCAAGTAATATCAGAAGGATTTAAAACAAAGATAAGGTGGACAGAAGGTAGAAGGACAGGAAAAGAGGGGACATTAACTCACCACCTTGTTTTTTGGCTTTTTCCTTTAGTTTCTTCAATTTGATTTCTTCGAGTGTTTTTATTCCGAAATTTAAATTGTCATCTGAAATCACAGAACAGCTCATGAAACTGAGGCTTAAAGGCATTTTGAATAAACCCTGTCAACACTCCCCAAACAGATGGTATTTTGGTAAGGAATTGGCACCTTCCTTCACCCTCCTCCATCCTACAGGGTAAAGTCTGCACTTTCAAGCATTAATGTAATGTAGAGGGATTAAAGGTTCCTCTGGCATTTGCACAATGTCTGAAAGGACACATCTGCAGGCATTTAAACTCCATGTCGTGGCTCTATTTTGTTCCACAAAAGCAAACCAGGAGGAGTTTATCTCCTTGGGACATATGACATTATTAGATGAGAATGACTCCCTTCAGTGACCCCATGTTCTATTGTGTTTTTAGAACACACTGCTTTCATTTGTCGAATTCTCCTTCCAAACCACCCCCCTCCAGCTGCTGGAATACCTGGCTTTGTATTAGCATTGGATTTCCTAGTGGAAATCAGCCTCAATCCATTATGGGCTTCTGTGGCTGGCTGTTGGACAGGTGTTTTAGTTTCTTCTCCTTCTTCAGAAAGCTGGTCTGAAAGGCAAAAATAAACCTATTAACTTATGGAGTAGGGATGAGACGAGATTGTTCATGTTTATGTAGCTCATACGATGACATTTCAACCCATAAAGATATTTAGGATTCCAGACTCCCGCCTGAAGTTTTAACCACTAAAAAACTCAGGTATTACGTGATTTATATATTCACTTACAGTAGAAATATTTTCAGCAGGTAAAAAATGCTCACCATCATCATCTTCATCATCATCTGCAGCATTGATGACAACTGGAGGGTGTGTAGGACTCGGGACATTTTCTGAGTTCTCCACTTTCATCACCCCCCTCAGCTGTGGGGAGGGGTTGGACTGCACAGAGAGTTTGTTTTGCTGCAGCGACATCTGAGCCATTTTCACATCATCTTCTGCAGACTCAGGTGGGCTGGGGAGTGTGGCTGAGGACAAGGAGGCTATCTGTTACTTGGCCATGTCAAAGTCTGACCCCGGTGTTGCAGGTATGACAGAGAAGGCAGGTAAGATAAACCCACCTGGCTACTGAATTCAGTTTCCTTCTTCCCCATCCCTGCTTACACTGTGAAGGGGGTTTCCCTCCCACACCCATCTCCCCACCCAGAAAGGATTAAATGAGGGGAAAGGAACCTGAAGGGCAAAGATCACAGAGGAGCTGAGAAAAGACTAAACCCCAGAATTATCTTCCATTCAGCTGACAGCCTGTAAGTGCAGACCCCTCCCTGCACTCAGGAATGACCAATTCCCGGAGCTTTACCCCATCCTAAGCAACATTCGCACCTAAACGTTTAATAAATGGAGCTGAGAAAACTCACTTTTGCTTGGGGGCAGGAAGAGCCCATCGACATAACGGCCTTTGGTGTGGTGGAAAGCACAGTTGTACTTCTGGCAGCCCCCGGGCTGGTTCTCCCAGTAACAGGCGATCTCGCTCCGCTTTTTCTGAGGGAAGGGACAAAGCCAAGTTCACACTTGCAAACAGACTCAGTTTCCCCACATGTCAGAGACAGGAGTGCAGCACTGCAGTGCTGGAGTATCATTCCAAAGGTCAACTTCTCGCTAAAAATATTTCAGGGCATATAAACCAAGTTTGTGCAGGGGGGAAAGAACTAAATATTGTCTGGCTTTGCTTTCCTGTCACTCAGCTGGGGAGGACAGGCCAGCCTGACACAGGAATTCAGATCCAAAATAACGGGATTATTCAGAGGGGGAAATGGCTTCAAATGCCCAGGTTAAATCTACCTGAATTTATCTTTCACAGCACTGGTTCCTTCCCACCTGATTTCTCCCCTCCCTGTCCTGCTCCAAGAGGTCAGGATAACGTTATCTGAGAAATTCAGGGCAGAAGGAACCTGCCAGGCCATTTTCCAGCCCAGCCCTTGGGAGGCTGTTTCCCACCACCCTTCTCCACCACATTTCAGCCGTGTGATCCATGTGGCTGCTTTTACCTCTGACTAAGCAAATAATATCAGCACCTAACAAAAACATTTCCAGCCCAGATACACCTCAGAAATTGACTTTTCTTCCCCCAGCTTCCTGCCAGCCCCTCCTAGTGACCAATATCCCTTGAAAGCAAGCAAATCTATGCTGTACAAGCACATTCACCCGCTGTGGGTGCTTCGTTTGGCAAACACTCACATCGATTTCCATGTGTCTGAACCTGCAGACATTCCTGAAACAACGACCCTCCTGCCAGAGGGTGCAGACGGTCTCACTTCCCAGAGCTGCCTCACAGTGGCGGAAGGCACAGCTGTCTCCCTGGAATCCAAAGGAAAGCAGGAAAAAAAGGGATATAAAACCATCCAGCCTGAAAAAAATGCTCCTGTTATCAAGAGCTGGCAGCAGAATCTGTTAATTAAGTTAACAGCAATCTGTGTCTCCTCACGCTCTTCCCCCTCCTTGCTTATAAACTAAGAAGGGAAACGCCAAATCCCAAAGGAAAATGCTCCCAAACACACCTTGTTGCACGTGGAATAGAAGTAGAAGTAGCAGTCGTCTCCCTGGTTGGACATAATGGATAAACTCTTGGAATAAGCTCTCAGGGTTTGATCTCAGGGTCTTCCTCCAGCCTTGGCAAGAACTGGCTTCACTTTTCTGGGACTCAAAGTCTTCTACTGGCTTAGCAGTGAAATCTTCTTTTTAAAAGTAACCCTGAAGAAAGGGATCAATAAGTGATGGATAATTGAGTAATGAGCACTTTTACAGCTCTGTTAGTCAAATTTATCTCTTGAGGGGGGCAATGTCTTGAAATCAGCTGATCACAAAAACTGTGTCAGATCTGTGTAAAACTGCATGGATGTCGTCAGTACAAGTCCTATTTTAATCACAGTTACATATTTTGGAGCACAGAAAAAACTAGTGTGTGGCTGTAAGCCTAAAAGTGAGCCACTTCTTAAAAAACTGGTCATAATTTTGAGTTATTAATGATACTAATTTATATTGATAATATAACTGATATGGATACACTGATAATATAACTGATACTGATATATTGATAACATAACTGATATTGATATTACCTTTCAAATTATGCCTTAATAATTACATATAAATAATAATGGCTATAGTAATAGTATCTTAATATTACTGCTCAATAATATCACATTAATATTACTTGATAACATCACATCTTAATAATATCCCATCTTTTGAAGTGACATCTGAATAATATGAATTTTGAACTACTACATGATTGATCAATTATTGACTAGTAATTTCTATCAAATACAACAGATACATTAAGCATTTTTCCAATCCCTGTGGATTTTGGGGTTCACACACCTGGACAACTTCAGCACAGACTTTGATCTTCCCAGACATCCAGTTCCCTTCTCCTGTAGGCCGAACCAACACTTGAGTCCATCAATTAATAACAAAGGGGTAGAAAGAATTTTCCTTCTCACATTGCCAAGGGAACCTCTCATCCACAATTCAAACTTAGGATGTGCTCTTAAACATCTTACAACTAATGGAGGAAGCAAGTCCATTGGAACACTGCCAGCCTGGAGACAGCCAGGGTTACTTAGCTCTTCCAAAAAACCACCAAAAAAACCACCAAAAGAAGCCCCAGCGCATTTAAAGATGAACTTGGGATTCAAAGTGGCTGCAAAAATGAGGCTCCATCTTCCACAGCCGGGCAATTTCTAATTTTTTTTTTTTTTTTTTTTTTTTTTTTTTTTTTTTTTTTTTTTTTTTTTTTTTTTTTTTTTTTTTTTTAAATAATTTAACATTCAGTAAGATGCAATTTCTGGTCTTCCAAGATTTCTTCACCTATTAAGAAAACACAAAAACCTTCCCCCACCTTTATTTCCTGTACAGAAAAACCCCACATTTGTGTGTATAAACCCACATGCACAGATGTGTTTATACACACGCACACACCAGAGGAAGGGAGAACAAAGTGAGAGCGAGAGCGAAAACGAGGATTTCTGGCTCTTTGCCACAGCGAAGTGCAGGCAAAGCCTCTCATCTGGAGGAAACCAGGTGGGGAAAAATGAAAGATCTCTGTAATATCTGGATAGGAGGAGGTGGCGCTGCCAGGGGTGAGTTGGGATGGGGGATTTGGGGGCAGCACACGAACACCCCCCATGCACAAACACATCCACACGGGGGGCCATCCCTCGGGAAGGGCTCTGACCCTCACCACACACACCGGGAGCAGGGAGGGGGAAGCAGCTCAGGGACACAGCAAGCCTCGGGAAGCAGGGAATGCCCACGGTGGGAGTGGTGTGGCTGCACGAGACCCCCCGGAGTGCGAAAGCGCTCGGATTTGGGGAAATAATTTAGTTTTCCATCGCGTCCTACAAATTTGCTGTTCCCTAATCCATGTATCCATCATCATCCATGGCTGCAAGATCATTTGGAAACGGCTCAGGTCCAACCCAGCTGATGATTTTTCGGTGCCACCAGAACCTGATTTATTGAGCTACAGCATTTTTTTTTTATGTGAACTCATGCACTTATTTTTATATTATTCTAAAATTAGATTTTTAGGATTCTAGGGTGTTTTTTTTTTAAATCCACAAAACCTGCAACCAGACCAGCTAAAATTCAATTTAAAGAGATTTACCCCTTTCACTGCACATTTCTGGGCAAAGGATTTCAGATTCTTGGGGACAGAGGTGAATGAAATTGTTCTTACAGATCAATAATAAATGCTTGGAATCTTTTACTCACACAAACACTAGTGAATTTTCCAGGACACTTTTTTTTTTTTTTGGCAAGGAATTTTCCCAAATCTAAAATAAAGAGAGGAAAAGTTGGGTTCTCACAGGTGTTATTGTTTTTTGACTGCTTGATAAAGGGAATAAAAACAGGAGTTAAGTGCAGGGTTTCCTTCCCTTCTTCCATATCTGTGGGATTATTCACTCCTGACCTTTAGCACCTTCAAAAACAGACTTTGTGTCATGCAGGTTCCTCGGAATCTAATTCTAAAACTTCCTGGAGCTCCTTCGTGGGGAGGTTTCAAGGAGACACATTCTTCTGAGTGTTTTCTCTTTTGGGAGTTTTAGATTAAATTTCAAGGCCGAATTCTTGGGTTTGCAGGAGGCAACACTTCAGTGGGTGGTAATGAAGGGCCATGGCTTGGCTGAGCAAAGGCATTCAAACACAAATCACAAGGAATTCCCAGGCTGGAAGGTGGCATTTCCTTTCCTTGGGAAGTGAGACACACCTAGAACTCAACATTCCTACATCCACCACCTTGGGGGGGAAAAAAAAAAAAATCCCTTCAGCTGGAGTTCCTTTAAACTAAATCAGCTCAGCAGTTTCCATATTCCACATCTGGGCTTCCATATTTCCATATTCCTGTCCAGAATTTGGATGGGTCTTGTTTAAGGAATGGGAATAAAGCAGAACTTTAAAACAATTAGCAACAAAAAAATCAACAAAAACAACCCCACAAAAACCCCAATGGAAAAAAAAAACCACCTTAAAGTTCTAAACCCCATAAATTTAATTATGAGAAAAGTTAACTAAAAACCTTTTTTCTTTAAAGTAGCAATCTGAGTGCTGTGCAAAAATCAAGCGAATTCACCCCAGAAAAATCTGAATAAAGATGAGTAACTCTGGTGCACTCAGCAGGCCTCTGATCCAAGCTGATGAGAATTTTAAACACTTTTTTCCCCCCAGAACTCCAGTAAAATGTTTGCAGTAAGAGATTTTGAACCCATTTTTCTAAAAAATAATATAATTACAGGTACAGTAGCTGAGGGTCAGGAAAAACATGACCAAAAGCAATATAAATTTTATGTATTTTAAGGGAACATAAATAATAGAATGAAAACCTGTTTAGTGTATTTTAGAAGCTTCTCCCTCCTGGTACTGCAGAACCAATCCCGTTCCCTGTCTGATCTCCCACTTTCCTGACCTGCCTCTGTCCTGGATTGAAGAGGAAGAAGGAAACAAACCTTTCTGCACCTCAACCAAAGCCTGAGAGCAGCTTTCTTGCAGCTCCCTGGGGGGGAATTTCTGGTTTTAAACCCCCAAGATTTCCCTGGAAAAGTCTCTCCTGCTGCTCTATTTGTGCCTTTAATTCCTGACAACAATATTTGATGCTTCAAATCCCCATTTATCCAGCACCAAGGAAGGAAGAGCACCAGGAAATATGTGTTCTTACCCCCCTTTTCAACCATTCTCATCCCATTTCTGAACTAAGTCCTGCTCAGCTCAGTGTGTGCCCCTGGTTCTGTTTTCCTTCCAAACCCCCCTGTCCCCAGGAGATCTCCCTTTTTTTAGAGCCAAACCCCCCAGTTTTACTGTGGAATTGCGGCCCACAGCTCCATCCCCGGGAACGTCCTGGAGACTCCACTGCAAGGGGGGAAAAAAAAAAATCCCTTTTGGCGCTTCCATAACAAAACCATCGACGGGGAGAACAGAAGCCTCTCAGCTCCAATCCTTTTAAGAAATAAAAACCAACCCCCCCACACACACACCCCTCACCACGGCGTCGCTTCGAACGCCCCAAAAAGCAGGAATGAAGAACCTGGTGCGCCCAGAGTTACTCAGATCCTGAGGAATGAGGAGCAATTAGATGACTACACTGGAGATGCCCCTCAAAGGCTTTGCTACGGCAGGGGAGGCACAAGGTTTTACCTGGAAATAAGGATTATTATGAAGCAGCTGCTTGGGGGGGGGGGAAGGAGGAACCGTGGGGAAGGGCTTGGGGCCTACCCGGGCACGGAGCTCCCACCTCCCAAAACCCTGCGGGAGGGAGCCCGCCCCATCCCAACCTCATCCCACCTCATTCCCACCTCATTCCTCCCTCACCCCGACCCCCCCCAGCCCCGGTGGCCGCGGACACCCCAGTGGGGAGAGCGCGGGGAGACGCGGCCTGCGGCCCCCGCGGAACGGGCCAGAGGGGCCATCCCGCCGGCCGCCGCGGGCTACCGAGGGGGCTGTTATTTATGGTCGATCAGGGACTTTACCGAGCCCCCGGGGGCCGCCGTGTCCCCGCCGTGTCCCCGCGCTGTCCCTGCGATCCGCCGGGGCCGCCGCCGTTCCCCCCGCGCCAGGCTCAAAGATGGCGCCCCGCGCTCCGGCAACCTCAGCCCGCCCGCCGCCAAGATGGCGGCCGGAACGGCTTCACCGCCGGCCACGCCCGCCCGCGGGGGCGGGGCGGGTTCCGTGTGGGCTTTGTGTGTTCGTCATCTCCGCCGGCGCCTCAAACCCTCCAAAAAAACGCTCGAAAACTGTGCACGGCCTTTCGCTGTGGGGCCGTCGGGATTGTGATCCCCTCCACCTCAGCCCCGTGCCCGCGGAACGCGAGGTTGGAAAAGCCCTCCCAGATCGAGGCCAGCCTGTGCCCGGTCCCCACCTTGTCGCCCAGCCCAGGGCACTGAGTGACACGGCCAGGCCTTCCTCGGACACCTCCAGGGATGGGGACTCCACCACATCCCTGGGCAGCCCCTTCCACAGTGCCTGACAGCCCTTTCCAGGAGGAAATTCCTCCTGATACCTAAGAATGATGCTCAGTCCCCATTCCAGAGCCCACCTGCCCGACCGCAGCGCCTGAGGTGCCGTCCCCCCCTCCATCACGCTGCATCACGGATATCCCTTCCAAACTGGAGGATATTTTGAGTTTTCAACCCATTTTCCCAGTTTTGGGATCCTTCTGGCCGTGCTCCCCCATGGGCCTGGCTGGGTGGGTTAGGGTTTAGGGTTAGGGCTAGGCTTAGGGTTATTTTAAAGCTTTCTTTCAGAATTATTTTTATGTCTAGGGTAAATACTCCAGGAGATAAACCCCACTCTGATGGGAGCTCTGGTGGCAGCAGGGTCTGTTTTGATCCCCATCCCTCCTTCCTCCCCACAGGCCCCACTCCCACGCTCCGAAGGGAAGCCTGGCCGTTCCTCCAGCGCTGGGAGAGGGGCTGGGATTGATTTCACGAGCTGCTGGACACACGGAGGACGTCACAGTTACACGTGGGCACAGTTTATTCTCTGGATGCATTGTTTCTGCTCAACAGCCAAAGCTTTATTGATTCCAAATCATCCCCCTCCTCCCCCACCCCCAGCACGCCTGGTTTTGAACTAAGCACCCCCTTTTTATCCCACCCCTCAACCACTCCTCTGCTTCCACTTGGAGTATTGTCTCTGCTTGGAGTCCGTTTGCTCAGAAGAAGCCAACTGACAATTCATTCAGATTCTTTTTTTTTCTTTTTTTTTTTTTTTTCTCCCAAGAACCATATAAATTACATGCAAAACATTGTACATAGAGATTAATATCAAAATGCAATACAGATCAGGTGCACTTTAAGCTGGACTCTATTAGGATATGGCAAACACACCAGGGTACATATTGCTTTGAAACCACCATTTTTTTGTTGTTGTTGTTGTTTAATGTCATGCATACCACATAATATTCAGTCTTTTGTTTTGTATTTTTTTTCCTCCTGTTTTTATACAAAAATACCAGTGCTTATTATACTTAGTTACTGGAAAAGAAAAACTCGGCTCTGCGTGCCCTCTTCAAAGGAAAGTTTTAGTTGTGAGAGCACGGGATAAATATATATACACACACATAAATGTTGATTTCATACTGTATATATATATATTTATTAAAGGGGAGGAAAGAAACTAAAGGCAGTTTTAGCCATGGGCTTTGCTGGATGAAAATCAGGGGGTTCGGGGAGTGGGAGGAGAGCAGAGCTCAGCAAGGGTAGGGGGGGGATGCTGGAGAGGGAGAACCAGGGGCCAAAAGCCACCTGGCTGGGTGGTTCTGTTGGGGGGCAGGAGCAGGAGAGAGGTACCCCACATCCCCACGCTCCAAGGGGAGAGCTGGGAGTGCAGGGGGGTGTTTTAGGGATCCCCGTCCGTGAGCTCGTGGGACGCGATGCAGGGACAGGCGCCCTCCCACAATAAGCTTCCAGGGGCTTTGGTGCGGTCCCTGCAGTCACGGAGAGCAGCAGGACTGGGCCGTGGCACCTCGGAGATGCCCTCCCTGGATTTGGGACGGGGCTTTTCCAGTCCCCCCCGTTGTGCCACCCCCAGCAGCTGGAGCTGAGCACTGCGGGCCGTGCACTCCTCGCGGGGTGGGGGAGGAAAGCCAGAGGCCGCCCATGCTAAAATTTGGTTTAGTTTTTTTCCTTCTTGAGATTGTTTCCGAAATTTCCCTCGAAGCTTATTGCACGAAACCTTTGAAAACGAAGTAAGACCCCCCTGTGCAAATCAGAAAGGAAACCTCAGCACAGAATGCAAACGCCTCAGAAGAAGCTGCCTGGTGAGCGACGCACACAGGGCGTGGTGGGATGTCTTTGGTACCAATCCGCCAATTTATTCCACAGAAAAAAAAAAAAAATAATCCACCACCAGAGAGAGACCCTCCTGGGATCAAGAACTGGATGCAAAATTACGTTCAGAGTGTTTTAATAACAAAGCATTCCAAGGCAAGTTAACACGGATCACAGGGTATGACTTCGGTTCCTGTCGGGCACTGTCCCCGTGTGCACTCGTGGCAGTTCAAACAAAGCAGAAAAAAAAATTATTAATAATATATATATATATATTTATATATATCTCCCCCTAGTCAAGGCATGTTGCAGAGAGTCCCCAAAAGTTCGTGCCGCCGACCATGCCTTTTGGAGCACCAATCTCCCCCAAATCTTTTGCAATGTCCTCAATAACTTAAGCCTTAAGAGTCAGCTGCTGCCAGTATATCACTGAAACTA